TCGTAGCAAAAACGCTGCTCTTTGCTTTGAAAAAGTCCCTGACCCTTTCCAAAAAACGCAGCAGCTCAAAAAAGCACAGATGTGAACATGTTCCATAGGAAACCATGATAAATGGAGTGTAGTGTGCTTTCTGCAAAAAGCACCAAAAAAAAAATTGCATTGGTGTGAACGGAGCCTAAAGCTTGTCGTGAAAGAAGAAGTCTTTATTGCTCAATAGTGCTAAAGGAAAGGTGTGAAGTTTTTTCAGTGTGTGTGTCGCTCTTCAGCTTGTTATGTTTGAACCAGTTTTAGTGCACCCGGGGGACACGGGTACAGGGCCCAGCCCCACTGCCTGCAGACTGTTAAAGTCTATGGCAGGCTGATATACACTGCAGCTGGACGCGGTTTGAACGCTGTACAAAGCTGTATGCGAATTTAGGTTCCTATGCGTTCAGAGGTGAATGCCCAGAACACAGATTCAGCACTACACACTAGTACCACTTGGTGACGCATTCAGCCCCATCTAGCTGCAGCACATTTCAGCATGCCATAGAGTGTGACAGTCGGCAAGCAGTGTTGCTGAATGCTGGAACTCTGCCTTCCGGGTGCTCCAAAATGCCGGGATTGGATGCACATGGGAAATACTTAGGTGAATACTTGCCCAATGCTCTATAATACTTTCCATCCAGTCCTGAGATTTACACAGCTATGAGGCAAAGCACATCCCTGACTAGCAGGGAGTGGGACCTGAGCTTTCTATGGTACAATTGCATTTTCACTTCAGGCCCCCCCCCCCTTCCCAGTCAAAGCAATGAAAGGAAAAGCGCCACATCGATTAGTGAATTTCTCAGTCACTAAGCTCTCTCCTCCTATCCGCATGGTTCTTTGCACTGCAATGCATCTGACCGGATCCTGGTGCTGCTTCTTTCTCGTTTCTGGGTTCTGCTGTACACAGACTGCACAGTGGTCAGCCAGAGGCTTATATCAAGCCAAATTCAAATGCTTACAATGCTTTCATGTAAAAAAATAAACATATTAAAACTGAAATCCAGGAAAAACTGTTTGGGTACCAGGAAAAGTGCTTTTACTTACTGATCCAATCCCTAGCCCCCCCCCCCCCACCTACTTACACACAAGCTCCCATTGTGCTGCTTGACTGATCCTTGCAGCCTCTTCTCCTCCATGTGACGGTCCATGTCAGTGGTCTCCAAACTGTGGCCCGGGGGTCAGATGTGGCCCTTGGCTTGCCTTAAACTGGCCCTTGGAGCTCTAGTCCACCAACAGACAATGTTGATGGGGCACTAGTCTTCTCATTGATACCAACAATAGGGAACCTTTCAAACCAATGAAAGAAAATGCCCACTGATACTGGAGCATATTCTACTCCCTGCTGGTCACAGTCTGCACCCCCTAAACATCTGAAGAATTATAGACTGGCCCTTTGCTTGGAGACCCTTGCTCTATGTCATCATATACAGTGCAGAGTCCATAGCCCCCACATTGGATGTGAGGACACTGAGGAACAATTCACTGATGGAGCATTTATTACTGAACAGACTGTGTTCATGGAAATTCTAATAGTCATTTCTGAAGGTGTGCTTCAGAACAGGCTGAAGTTAAATACGGTAATTCGTGATTTCTAAAGGTATTGGCATCTCCTCTGTGTTTTCCCTCGCTCGGTGTTTCAGTTGGACAACAAAAATTCGCTCTGATAAAGAGCTTCTGGAATGTCACATCTAACCCAAAGTAATAGGAATGAATGCATCTGTATTTAATAAAAGTCCAATGCAACCATTCTCAGCCAGGGTTCCACCATCTGATGGTGCCTACAGAGGTCCAATACCACTTGGCATAGCCAGCAGGATGACACCAATGATCTGTTTAGATGTCTGTAAGTGTGGCTATTCTGACTAGGGATATGATCCCCCTGACCACCAATGTAAGGAGTATTCTTCCCACCGATCGCCAATAAATTCATTTCAGCAGTGGCTCCGAGACTTAAAAATTATTCCAGGGTTTCCTCTGCAGTAAGAGCACTCAATACATTGCTACTAACAAGCTGCCTTATACACAGAGCTCCTTATGGAGTAGGCTACACAAGTACTATATGGTAGCCGAGCCATTTTCAACCAGGGTCCCTCCAGAGGTTGCTGGGGGCTCAAGCTGAGGACTGACCTCCTATGTGATGTGTGAGTTCCAGGTCACAACCATGGCAGACACCAATGACACCAATCAGCTGTTTAGGTGTCTATAAAGGTGGTGTGTTGGGGAAGGTGGGGGGGGGGGGGTGCAGTCTTCCCTGACCAATGTAGGGGGGCATTACCAATATAAAGGGCATTCTTCCCTGACTGCCAATGTAAGGGGCATTCTTCTCTCATCACCAGTGCCAGATGCAATACTAATATAAATGGCATTCTTCCCTCATCGCAATGTGCGGGGCTTTACCAATATAAATGGCATTCTTCCCTCATCGCCAACATGCGGGGCTTTTCCAATATAAATGCGGGGCATTCTTCCCTCATCGCCAACGTGCGGGGCTTTACCAATATAAATGGTAAATGCCAACATGCGGGGCTTTACCAATATAAATGGCATTCTTCCCTCATCGCCAACGTGCGGGGCTTTACCAAATATAAATGTCATTCTTCCCTCATCGCCAACATGCGGGGCTTTACCAATATAAATGGCATTCTTCCCTCATCGCCAGCATGCGGGGCATTCTTCCCACATCATCCAGCATAAGGGGCATTACCAATATAAAGGGCATGCTTCTCTGATCACCAATGTAAAGGGTGCATTCTTCCCTCATTGCAAGCATGCGGTGGGGCATTCTTCCCTCATTGCCAGCGTGAGGGGCATTACCAATATAAATGGCATTCTTCCATCATCACCAGCATGCAGGGCATTCTTCCCACATCATCTGCATAAGGGGCATTACCAATATAAAGGGCATTCTTCTCTGATCACCAATGTAAAGAGCATTCATCCACTGACCCCAATGAACTGATTTATGGGGTTCCCTGAGCCCTAAAGATGAATTAAATGGATCCTCATGGGGTAAGAAGGATGAGAAAAAAGCTTCTCATCGCTATTTTGAGCAGCCCTCTGTCGGACAATACAGTTGCAGAGTATACATCCATCACACGTCACATCCCAGCCCTGGTAACATTTTTAAAGGGATTGCATCAATCACACCACATCCTCCCTCCTGGGAGTTACAGAATGTTACAGCTATACATCTTGTATACATTATGTGAGTCATAAGGAGCCCTCCATGTACTGCACCACCAGGATCATGATCACAGTACAGTCATCTGTAGCAGAGGTGACAGATCAGCTATATCTGGCGGATCACTGATGGTGGGAAGTCAACAATGGGGTCTCGATCACGGTCGCGGATCGCCGATGGGGGGCGTCTACCATCAGGGTCCGGCGCGGATCGCCCGATGGTGGGACGTCTACAATCGGGTCCGGCGCGGAGCGCCGATGGTGGGGACGTCTACAATCGGGTCCGGCGCGGATCGCCGATGGTGGGACGTCTACAATCGGGTCCGGCGCGGATCGCCGATGGTGGGACGTCTACAATCGGGATCCGGCGCGGATCGCCGATGGTGGGACGTCTACAATCGGGTCCGGCGCGGATCGCCGATGTGGGGCACGTCTACAATCGGGTCCGGCGCAGGGATCGCCGATGGTGGGACAGTCTACAATCGGGTCCGGCGCGGATCGCCGATGGTGGGACGTCTACAATCGGGTCCGGCGCGGATCGCCGATGGGTGGGACGTCTACAATCGGGTCCTGGCGCGGATCGCCGATGGTGGGACGTCTCAATCGGGGCGCGGATCGCCGATGGTGAAGTGGGATCGCCGATGGTGGGAAGTCTACAATCGGTCCGGCTCGGACGATGGTGGGAATCTATCAATCGGGTCCGGCGCGGATCGCCGATGGTGGGACGTCTACAATTCGGGTCCGGCGCGATCGCCGATGGTGGGACGTCTACAATCGGGTCCGGCGCGGATCGCCGATGGTGGGACGTCTACAATCGGGTCCGGCTCGGATCGCCGATGGTGGGAAGTCTACAATCGGGTCCGGCTCGGATCGCCGATGGTGGGAACGTCTACAATCGGGTCCGGCGCGGATCGCCGATGGTGGGACGTCTACAATGGGGTCCGGCGCGGATCGCCGATGGGGACGTCTACAATCGGGTCCGGCGCGGATCGCCGATGGTGGGACGTCTACAATCGGGTCCGGCGCGGATCGCCGATGGTGGGACGTCTACAATCGGGTCCGGCGCGGATCGCCGATGGTGGGACGTCTACAATCGGGTCCGGCGCGGATCGCCGATGGTGGGACGTCTACAATCGGGTCCGGCGCGGATCGCCGATGGTGGGACGTCTACAATCGGGTCCGGCGCGGATCGCCGATGGTGGGACGTCTACAATCGGGTCCGGCGCGGATCGCCGATGGTGGGACGTCTACAATCGGGTCCGGCGCGGATCGCCGATGGTGGGAGTCTACAATCGGGTCCGGCGCGGATCGCCGATGGTGGGACGTCTACAATGGGGTCCGGCGCGGATCGCCGATGGTGGGACGTCTACAATGGGGTCCGGCGCGGATCCTGATGGTGGGACGTCTACAATCGGGTCCTGATCACACACATGTCCTCACCATCTGACCTCCAATGAGCCCACACTGCCATGTACTGTAGAATACAGAGGACTCACAAATCTGGGGGCAGAGATCGGATTAGATTTTCATTTAGTATTTTAGAACATTACAATATACCATCATGACCCGGACTGATGACATTGGATGGCGGAGGACTCTGCGTGCAGATACCAGGACTGACCCCCTTCATTCATCCATCCATCCATCATACACAGTTCCTTCTCCGGGCTGAGCTCGGACGATGCCACCATACACGGGGTAGATCGTCTGTTGGAGTTGTGGATGAAGGATGGATCATGGCCATGCAAGGAATGGAAGCACATGGGAACTCCCTCACCCCCGCTCAGGCTCACCTTGCTGCAAGTCCTGGTGGTCATACCACGGCTCATCCTCCTTGATCTCGAACTCCTCCACGTTGCTGGCGGTCAGCATGTTGTCAGCCCGGAGTGTGCTCGGCTCTCCTGGGAATCGGAGCTACTGATACTGACAGCTCAAAGAAGCCTCTCCCCGTCTGACGGCCCCGCCCACAGCCCAGCGCCTCCGGGAAAGTGCCGACAACTCCCGAACCCCGCCGCAACGTGGCAATCCTAGTCCGTGACATCCAGTTTACAACGGGGAGGGGCTGTTTACAAACAGACGAATAGCGTATTGAGCAGAAACAACAGGTGCCATGAGCGGACCAATAGGGTGGTCAGGAGGGATTCCTGCTGTTTGTCATTGGTGGATAGGGCAAAGCAACCCCCAGAGCTGTACGGACACTTCCGTGTTGTGCTGGAAGACGGCTGCGGCGTTCAGGTTGCGAGGGGCAACGGGCTGACGGGGGGCTTCCCGAGGATTGTGTGCAGGAGCAGCTGTGTGCCCCCCGAGTGGCTGGTAGTATGTGCACAGAGCATGCTTTCCATTGTGTCTGGTGATGGTGGTGATGACAGCAGCTCTACATTCCCAGGGCATGGCATACATAGATGGCAGATCTGTCACATCCTGATGAATGGAGCCCATTAACACTATCTGTGTTACGTCATTTATTTTATGAATTATTATAAGTACTTGTATAGCGCCATCAATTTACACAGCACTTTACATATATATTGTACATTCACATCAGTCCCTAACCCTCAGGGGGTGTACAATCTAAGGTCCCTAACTCACATTCATACATACACATACTAGGGCCAATTTAGACAGGGGCCAATTCACCTACCAGCATGTCTTTGGAGTGTGAGAGTACCCGCAGGAAACCCTCGCAGGCACAGGGGAGAACATGCAAACTCCATGCAGGTGGTGCCGTGGTTGGGATTCGAACCGCTGACCCTGGTACAGCCATAATACATGATATGATCATAGGCCAGCAGGAAACTGATGACACAATAAGCATTGGTTTATGGATCTATCTCCCTATGTTTACTGTATATCTTTATGGGACATGTATATGTACGTGTAGATCGATCGTGATTCCCTAGGGCACAGGTGTCAAACACAAGGCCCTCCAGGCCATTTCATGTGACCCATGCGCCTTTGCTGCAGGTACCCCCCTTTGTCTGCTCCCCCATCTAGTCTCAGCAGTCGGCAGCAGAGAGGAGAATAGAACTCCTCTGCCAAATCCTGCACCTCTCAGTGCAGCTGCAGCCCCCCTCATCTCTGCCTTCCCTGGTCTCAGCATTCAGCAGACTCTTGTAACTGACTCCACTCCTCTGGTCCTCCTCCAGACCCTGCACTTTCTGCTTTCCAGCTCTGCCCCCAAAGGGGGTGCAAGGTGATGTTAGGGAGGGTGGGATTCTTGACATCTGAGGTCATGGGGGGGGGGTGGGGTGCTTTGGACATCTAGTCTTACAGATCCAACGTGCCCTTTGAGGAAAACCATAATGCTGATATGGCCCGCAATGAAATGGAGTTTGATACCCCTGACCTAGGGTGTAATTAAACACCATGAACCAGTTCTGTAAGATCATTCCCCCTTCCCAGCCAATCAAAAAAACCATCACTATAAATAGCTCATTGCATGGCAGGGACATTTGCTGCTCAGTTTTTTTTTTGTCTAATCAGACATTGATCGTTCACTTTTATCGCACTGTGTCTGCCCAACGTAAGGCCTCATTAAAACGCACTAAAAGCCACGTATTGCACATGTATTTATACATGTATAGCATTTGACCGTAAATGCATTCTACTAGCCAGAATATTAAAGGAGATCTATAGGCAGAAACTTTTTTTTTGTCATTTTAGATAGAGTAAGGGAGGGTTATAACCCCGGTCAGTTTATTTTTATGCCATCTGTGTCCCATTGGGAAGATTTACGTTCACTTCCTGTCCCATAGCCAAAACAGGAAATGAGAGGAAATCTCTGCAAAGTAAAGTGTTACTAAATCAAGGACGCTGCATTCACTATATACAGTGTCCCCCCCCCCCCCCCCCCCCCCCCAGTATGCACAACATGGAAATTAAATTATTTTAGTCAATATAAATTGCTAAATACCGTTTCCTATGCTGGAGGAGATTGCTGGAGACTGAAAAAATGTTACAAGAGGCTGCTAAAGATCACTGCCTTAAAGTGTTACTAAACCCAGGACCCTTCATTCACCTTATCCGGTCTCCCACAAAACATAGAAATGCAATTATTTTAGTAAATATAAACTGCTAAATACCTTTTCTTATCAGCAGTATATAGCAGTCTTGTGACTTCTATCAGTGTGTGGCTGAGCACTGGTTAAATCTTGTAGGAGGAGTTTTCATTCTGCTCTAACTGTCCTATGAGGCTGCATAACCCCTGACCCCCAGTCTGGACAGTGCTGATTGGCCCTGTGCTGATCACATGCACCCTTCCAAAAAAAAAAAAAAAAAAACCTCTTGCAATACGCACCAAACTGAGCATGTGCAGAGTGCCTCCTAGAGCTCTACTATTAGCAAATGGATTGGGGACTGTGGAAGAAAGGGAGATCGTGGAAGACAGGATCAAACAGCCTTTTTACACAATGTGGAGGATTAGGTCAACAGTGAGAGTATAACAAGCATGCTTTACTGCATATACAGACTGATTTTACTGTTGTGGGTTTAGTAACACTTTAACGGAATTCCTTGGGGTCCCCCAGGTCACCAGAACTAGTGTCCCCATTAGAAGGTTTCCCCTTTATTACAGTTCTGGGACAACCAAAATTTGGGATTTTCTTTTGCTTTCACTTTCGATGATAATGGTAGACAGGACAAATAGAGAGAGGGAATCTCCTTAACAGGGGCAAAGCAATAAAAATTGACAGGGGTTTTAACCCATCTCCACTCTATGCAAAACAAAAAAAGTTTTGCCTTTAGTTATACTTTAATTTATTCTTGCCATTGGAATGCATTTGCACACATTTAGGCTCATATGCGCATTTTTCTGCTCTTAAGCTCCTCTAAGAACAAGGCTCTTCTTCCATGATTCCTGTGAACACCTACAGTATCTCCCAGAAGATACTGAACAAGATGCTGAACAAGCCCCCTTGTGATAGCTTTGGGCAATGACAGGTACTCTTCATGGAAACATCAGTGATCTATTAGACCCCGATGTCTCTCCTATCCTCCAGTGCAGCTGATCAAACAGTTGGTGTTTGATCAGCTGCTTTTCTGGCTGTAACGGGCAGGGAAATGCAGCACTGAAACTGTAAATGACAAAATCCTTGTTGCTTCTGGCTGACACTGAAAAACTGTAGCAGAATCATGGCCGCAGCCATTGTCCTGGTAGAACTACTTGTTGGCCAGGACGTTTATATACTGTATGCTGGACAGCAGGTGGTTAATGACAGTTTTATCAGTGGTCTCCAAACTACGGCCCGGGGGCAAGATGTGGCCCTTTGCTTGCTGTTATCTGTCCCTTGGGGCACTATTCCTCTGACTGACAACAACAGTGGGGCACTAATCCATCCACTAACATCAATGATGGGGCACTATTTCTTCCACTGACACCAATGATGGGGCACTATTTCTTCCACTGACACCAATGATGGGACACTATTTGTCCCACTGACGCCAGTGATGGGGCACTATTTCTCCCACTGACACCAGTGATGGACACTATTCCTCCCACTGACACCAGTGATAGGGCACTATTTGTCCCACTGACACCAGTGATGGGCACTATTCCTCCTACTGACAACAGTGATGGGGCACTATTTGTCCCACTGACCAGTGATGGGGCACTATTTGTCCCACTGACCAGTGATGGGGGCACTATTCCTCCTACTGACAACAGTGATGGGGCACTATTTGTCCCCTGACACAGTGACACTACCACTGACACCAGTGATGGGGCACTGTTTGTCCCACTGACACACAGTGATATTTGTCCCACTGACACACAGTGATGGGGCACAGTGACCAGTGACGGGGCACTGACACCAGTGACGGGGCACTGTTTTGTCCCACTGACACCAGTGACGGGGCACTATTTGTCCCACTGACACCAGTGACGGGGCACTATTTGTCCCACTGACTATTTGTCCTATTTGTCCCACTGACACCAGTGACGGGGCACTATTTGTCCCACTGACACCAGTGTCCTATTTGTCCCACTGACACAGTGACGGGGCACTATTTGTCCCACTGACACCAGTGACGGGGCACTATTTTGTCCCACTGACACCAGTGATGGGGCACCTTTTTGACACCAGTGACGGGCACCATTTGTCCCACTGACACCAGTGACGGGGCACCATTTGTCCCGCGGACACACCAGTGATGGGGCACTGACACACCAGTGTCCCGCGGCGGGCACTATTTGTCCCGCTTGACGGGGCACTATTTGTCCCGCTGACACCAGTGACGGGGCACTATTTGTCCCGCTGACACCAGTGACGGGGCACTATTTGTCCCGCTGACACCAGTGACGGGGCACTATTTGTCCCACTGACACCAGTGATGGGGCACTATTTGTCCCACTGACACCAGTGACGGGGCACTATTTGTCCCACTGACACCAGTAAGGGGGCACTATTTGTCCCACTGACACCAGTGACGGGGCACTATTTGTCCCACTGACACCAGTGACGGGGGCACTATTTGTCCCACTGACACCAGTGACGGGGGCACTATTTGTCCCACTGACACCAGTGACGGGGCACTATTTGTCCCACTGACACCAGTGACGGGGCACTATTTTGTCCCACTGACACCAGTGATGGGGCACTATTTGTCCCACTGACACCAGTGACGGGGCACTATTTGTCCCACTGACACCAGTGACGGGGCACTATTTGTCCCACTGACACCAGTGACGGGGCACTATTTGTCCCACTGACACCAGTGACGGGGCACTATTTGTCCCACTGACACCAGTGACGGGGCACTATTTGTCCCACTGACACCAGTGACGGGGCACTATTTGTCCCACTGACACCAGTGACGGGGCACTATTTGTCCCACGGACACCAGTGACGGGGCACTATTTGTCCCACGGACACCAGTGACGGGGCACTATTTGTCCCACTGACACCAGTGACGGGGCACTATTTGTCCCACTGACACCAGTGATGGGGCACTATTCCTTCCCCTTATACCAACAATGGGGCATTATTTTTCCCACTAATGCCAATGATGGGGGCACTATTTACTCCCATTAATGCAAGGGCATTTTCTACTTACACTGGCCACAGTCAGGCTCCCTCAAAGTCTGATAGACAGTAAACTGGCCCTTTTGTGTAGAAAGTTTGGAGACCCCTGCCATAGATGACTGATATTCTGGTATATTTCTAGTAGAAAGTATTTAGTTTTGTTGAATAGAATATGTGCCAGTTTTTTATTGTCTTCTATGTCCCCTCGGGGGGGGAGTTTCACCTTACATTCTATTCCAGTGACATCCAACTCTGGGACAGGAAGTGGCCAGAAATCTCTGCAATTCAGGCAGTAAAAATCTGACAGCAGTCCTTTTTTTTTTTTTTTTCGGTTTCGGCTCACTTCTGCTTTGGTGTCATTGGGATAGGAAGTGACGGAAATCCTCCCTATCGGGGATTACTATTACTACAATCAGGATTTTGTTATTTTTATTATTATTATTATTATTAATAATACGAAAGGGTGTTCAAGTCAAACCGGGACTTTGGGGTTTATATAATAAAAGAACAAATTTCAAAGGGTGGAAACTGCATTTATTTTTCGACATACTCCCCTGCTACATTTATACACTTATCCCAGCTTTTAACTAATACCTGGAAAGTTTCAGCATAGAATGATTTGTCAGTGTGCCTCAACCATCCTAGGACAGCCTGCTTCAGTTTTGTCGTCGTGTGTTTGCTGTTCCCACAGAAAGATTTGTCTCGTGCAATTTCACAACAGGTTATGCGTTGATTATTAAGGATCAGTCATTCCACACACTTAATGTTTACAGGAATGATTGCTGTGGGCTGGGAACTACCATGGCCAGGATCATCACTGACAGACGTACGGCCATCTTTGACATGATCACACCATTCAAATGTCTTACTGTGGTTGAAGTCTTCTGTACATATCTGCGGGTTTTACCCCCTTCGTTCACAAGAAACTTCATTATCACATGCTGTTCCATGCATACACTAAGGCTTCATGTACACGGGGCACTTCTGAATGATGGAAATTGATTGCTGGAAAACATAGGTTAAAAAAAAGTCTGTTTAGCCGCGTTTGCATACTGCGTTTATGCGCGTTTATGAGCGTTTGCATTTAGAAGCGTTTTTAAAGATAACCTCAGGAGACCTTCCAAAATGCCCAGAATGCACCGAAAAGCAGTAAAAAAGTAACTATTTCAGACATTTTGAGAGAAATAGAGAGAGCAGAAGCAGAGAGAGCAGTATTTGTTGAAATTACCTGTCTTTTTTTTTTGTGGTGTTTGGATGTGTTCCAGCTCATTTCTGTGCAGAAATTATTGCAGCAGTGTCTAACATATTTTCTTTCATGCAAAACCTCAAAGTATGGTGTACCAGGTCCATTTGAGTACCGGGAAAACGCTTTGCATGCATTTTTTCATGACAAAAAAAGTCTCTGGACAGCATCTGGAAATGGAAGAGTTAAAAAAAATTCCAAACGCTTATAAATGCGGTTAGCCATGTTTACAAGTGTTTGGCGTTTGAAATGCTGATAAAATCTACTCCTGAATGCAAGTTTGGTGCGTTCAAAAAAACGGCTGTAAACTCAACTGCCTGTAAAAAATTGTAAACAACATAGTGTACATGGACACATAGGAAAACATTAGGGAGAGTTCAGGGGCTGCTGAAAAAACGCAGAAAAGCTCCTAAACGTGAGTTTATCAGCTGCAGTGTATATGGAGCCTAACACTGTTGTCTGCCATCTTCATTAACGATCTCTGGACTGGCTTACGACATGTGGGCCGCCTATCTAATAGGACACACTTGCTACTTACTGTCTGTAGTACCGGCCACGCTAGAATCCCCTTTTATACCTGTAAAATTAAAAGTCCTGGTATGACTTGATTGCCTCTCGTTAAAACCCCTGATGGGGGGGAGGAACTCTCTCACTTCCTGTCCCAGTGACACCAAACCAGAAGTGAGCTGAAATCTGTGTAAGGACCACTGTCAGATTTTTACTGCCTGAATTGGGGAGATTAATAATAATAATAATAATAATAATATTATTATTATTATTATTATTAACAAAATCCTGAGTGTAGTAATAGTAATCCCTGATAGGGAGGATTTCCGTCACTTCCTATTCCAATGACTCCAAAGCAGAAGTGAGCTGAAACCGAAAAAAAAAGACTGCTGTCAGATTTTTACTGCCTG